TCAGCCTTGCAGACCAAAGTTTGTTTTCATAAAGAACTCATAACTTCCCATTTTTCTAGGAAATTTATTATGTACAGTAAAGTGTTGTCTTGACTCTTTGAAAAGCAAAATAGGAATGTATAAATTTCTGTAGAGAACCTGACTTTAAGTATTTACATTTTTATACTTTATCATCCTCATTTAGAGAGAGCTTTGTTTATTTTCCTATGTTTTAACTGTATGTGTGCTTGAGTGTGTTGTTTAAGTAGAGAGATCTATATGACAGTTTGAGTTTAGATGTGTATATTTTAGTCTCTCCTGAATTCTTAGTATTTCAATTTATAAAAACAGATTAAATGAGGCTGTTTTGTGGAAGATAAGAGAATCAAAAGGAATCATTAGTTAAAATAGATTGAAGTTTGATAGACAGAAGGAGTGAGAAAAGTTTAAGGTCATTACTTTGCTCTTTCTTCTCCTCTTCTTCTCCTACTCTTTGGATGTTTTTTCTCCTTATACTGGAAACTTCCTCTTAGAGTAATACTGCTGAGGAAATCTTCATTCTAGGGCTACACTCTTCACTAAGATTTGTAGACCCATTATAATTCATGTTCTCCAAAATTGACTCTGTTAATGAGGCTCCAATTCCATGAAGTTTTCCAGATGGAAATAGTTCTTTTTCCTTTTAATTTTCTTAGGTCTATGGTAAGAGGATGGACCGAGGAGACAGGCTGGACTTTTCATCCTGACTGTACTATCACAGATTACTGAGAGCAGTCCCGGGCAGCCTGTGGCATAGGCCTTTGGCATTTGCCCTCTGGAAAGCCATCTCTGAATACAGGTGACTGCAACCCCTGCTATACCAGCAAGACACTATCGCTCTTGCTTTCTGAATCAGAATTAGATCTCTGTAATTGTTCTTTTCATAACAGTTTCTAGCAGTCACTCAAGTCAGCAGTCAGTTATGTACAAGCAATGTCCAGTGCAAAAGCTGCTAGTCACCTGTGATGTTTTAACTCTTAATTAAAAGTAAATAAACATTTCAGTTTCTCATTTACACTAACCACATTTCCAGTGCTTAGTAGCCACATGTGGCTAGTGGCTACCATATTGGAAAACACAGAAAGGATTTTCATCATTGCAAAAGTTTCACTTAGCACTGGTCTAGAGATTACATTTTCCATAAAAGGAATTTACAATAAATGTTTTTCTTATTGACTCCTGCATGTCTGTTTTTAAACTCATTGGTTGCATCTTTCAAAGAACAGCTCTTAAAGAACTTACAACCTTTTAATTTAACATGAGGAAACTTAGTATTTCTTTGGTTGCTAATTATAAGACAGTCTTTTAAAACTGACTTGAATAATAGATATGCTCACATAAGGAGTCCTTGTAGTTTGAGTGGTCAGTTGTGTTACACTGCATTGTTCTAAGGATCCAAACTTTGTCTTCCAATTTGGATATTCTTCAGTGTGTAGGCATGTCTCTTTCAAGGTTGCTAGAAAGGTAATACTCCTCAAAGCATCACCTTATCACCTGACGACTAAAAGCTGTGAGAGAAAGGAGGCATCTCTTTTTATTGAGGAGCAAAATTTTCTCAGAAGCTCCCTGAAGCTCTTAGTAGCATCCCAGTTGGCCAAATATGAATTCTATGTCCATATTACAAGGGAGAAAATGAACACCTGACATTTTTAATCTATTATGATAGGCTGGCTCAGCTGTGAGCATTATAAAAACTGAAATTTTTGTCTGTTTTATATACCTACCCTGGGTATTGCCAGTACCTAGGATAGTGCCAGGTGTACAGTAAGTATCTGTTGTGAATGAATTTGTCAATAATGAGAAAATGTTGACATTCAGAATGGGGCACAGAAGTGAACTTACATGAGGAGTGCACGTTGTGCTCCTGTCTTCTCCCTCTACTTTTACTACAGTACTTTGAGCTTGATTCTCCTGATTGGCTCTCAGAATAAGTTTTTAGGTTCCCAACTTAATAAGGCAGTATTGGGCATGAAGTAATAAAGACATTGGACAACACCCTCCACTGAACTCCTCTACTGTCAAGACTTATCCTTATTTTAAATCTAAGTGTAGAAAACATAGACCAGGTTTGAGTTTTATGTCTAAGCGTTTATATAACAATTGCACGTTGAGTGCCACAGGGCATGCAATTTTTAGTCATTAAAGTAAGAGTGGTCTTCGGTTGTGTTAGATGCCATACCCTGTGTTTGTTAGTCTTTTTCGATTGGGTTTGTGGGTTGGGAAGGTTGGGATGTCAGCATCCAACAGGTGTCTGTAACCTTAGTAACAATAAATATCACTTCTCAAAGCATCTGGCACCTTGGGTTGATGACTCAGCCATTTCTTATTTTAATCTGGTGACTAAACTAGTCCACTAAATTGGGCTAAATTGTATGCCACTCTTCACCTTATTGCTGGTTTCTTGGGCCTCAATCTGGATTAGGTTGCTACTGACTAAAACCATTGGCAGGAGGATATACTGGAATTTAGAATTCCAAGTTCAGTGTTTATGAAGAAAATTAGAAATATGAAGATTGGGCAGATTTTATTGCAGGAGATTAAAGAAAAGGGTCTTTTCATAAATAATGTTCATAAATTATGTCATATAAAAGATATTTGAAAAAGTTACAATATGTACCAATGCTTTCATTAGATCTATTTCACTATTTTTACTTTACTACTTTTAGGTACTTAATGTATTTATATATAGATATAGATATAGATATTTTTTTTTTCCGGTACCGGGAATCCAACTCATGACCTTGCAATTGTCAGGCAGGCCCTGTGCCACTGAGCTAAATTCCCAGCCCCTGCATTTCTGAATGTGGCAAATTAAATACTGTTTCTCATTTAAAGAACTGATTACGTGAGTTGGATTTTCATTATGTTCCATGTGTTTCCAATGGACAAGTTCTATTAAATGCAGAACCAGCATTCTTCTTTTATACTTGACTTCATGTATGCCATCTCATATGTGGTCATATATATTCCCTTTGATTGATATACAGGACTTGATGTCATATATTACTTTATATGATTTGATAGTGTGAGCTAAGATGAATAATGGCTTTCTAAACATCTTTCAAACAGTACTTCAGTGAGTATTGAAGAAATATTTATTGAATTAATTGATTGGAAAATGATTTGACATATTACTGCTCTATGCATTAATATTTATCTAAATTATGTATTACATGTTATATATTAAATATATGTGCTTACATACCTTTTTAAATCTCTACCTTATGTGATAGTAGAGTTTTTAAGTTTATCCCATTGCCTATGATCAATGATTTGTCTATTTCAGTTACATGAGGCATAAATACATCTTGGGTTTTGTAACCTTGGGCAAATCTACATAATCTCTATGTGTCTTAGTTTCCCTATTGATAAACAGAAAATGATAACAGTACATTCATTATTCATTAGGCTGCCATAGGTAAATGTGTTAATATCTATAAAGCACTCGGAACCATATCAGAACTCTACTACTTTGGCAGTAGCCTTCTATAAGCACTAATTAGCTCTGTGGAATTTATCATAAAGTATGTACCATATATTATGGAAAAAGTGTGTGCTGTATATCCTTTACATTAGTAAAATTTATAGCAAACTTGCATACAGATAATTGTGCACACAGTATTTTTGTTGTTATAGTTAGCACTGGGTAACACTGCTTCCACTTTTGTCCCTGAAGCTTAAGGATAGTTCTTCAAAATATCGATAGTGTCTGAATGTAGCTTGTAGCAGATGTTGTTGGTACCCTACCCAGATTTCCTTTGTGAGCCCAGTGCATCCATCTCCCAGCTGCTATGGGTATTGGCTGCTAATGACTCACACCTGTATTCTTCTCTAAAGCACTGCTCTTGGCTGACAGTAATTGTCTCAATCAAATATGTCTAGGAGATCATGAGATCAGGCCCCAAACCTTTCCTGCTCTTCAGGGTGACTCATAGCCAATGATGATACAAGGCTGTAACACCAGCTTCCTTGCCTCTGAACTGAACAACTTCTTTGGTTCCATCCAAGCTCCAGAGTCCTTCATGGAATCAAGCCAAGGCTAGATTTCTGAAAACATATCTTTGCCAAGATTCTTCTCCCTATCTTACTTCTTTCATTCCTAGTTTTCCTGACAGCATGTAATTTATAATCAGTATATTAGAAATATCATCTCTGTCCTCTAGATGGAATTAAATAAGGCTGTCCAGCTAAGCCAGCAATTTATCTTAGTCCTCTTTCTGTTCATATAACAGACTACCACAGACTGAGTAATTTTTAAAGAAGAATTACATATCACAGTTCTGGAGGCTTGGAAGTCCAAGACTGAGGATCTGCATCTGACGAGGGTCTTCTTAATGTGCAGAAAGCATCCTATGGCGAGACAGAGCCATCGTGCCAGCTTGGATCTCTCTTCCTCTTCTATATCATGGGTCCCCATCCTTATTATCTTATCTAACCACTAATTATTTCCTACAGGCCCTACCTCCAAATACCATGAACATAAAATTTGCAGATGAAATTTCTAATACTTGAGTTTTAGGGGGATGCTTCAAACCATAATACAATCCTATGAAATTGTCACCAAATTAATATAAGTGGGACAGAGAAAAGCCTTGGTGAGCATCTGGGTGGCACTATTTTTTCAGTTAGGTGTATCATCAATTCGTAAAAAGTGTAGTATATTTAGGACTCTTAAGCAGAGTCTGGAAATACTCTTTAGACTTCAAGTCTTACCTTGATTCCTTCTCATGTATTTTGATGTAAAATTCATGAAGAATGACTGAAAGTTTTATGTTCTCCTTTGATATCCTATCTGCCGCTTGTTGCTAACACCTTTGTTCTTACCCATGACTGCCTCTGCCTGTTCTAGATTCTAATTCTGTTCCATCCTATAGACTTTCATAGTGAATTTTGAAAAGGTTTCCAGCAGGAATTACTGTTGGGAACATTTTTCAGTTTCTGAAAACCATTTCCAAAAGCACAATTTGTTTTGTTTTTGACAGGAGCTGATAATATCCGGAAATACTGGAGTCGCTACTACCAAGGATCTCAAGGGGTAATATTTGTATTAGACAGTGCTTCTTCAGAGGATGATTTAGAAACTGCTAGAAATGAACTGCACTCAGCTCTTCAGCACCCACAGTTATGCACTTTACCCTTTTTAATATTGGCCAATCATCAAGACAAGCCAGCAGCACGCTCAGTGCAAGAGGTATGTCTCTTTAATGTGATGGCTTTTTGTTTAGCTTGTTTGTTTGTTGGACTACTACTACCATACTGAAATCTGGAAAGATGTATATATGTAGGGATGTGCAGTTATGCTATTTTGATCTTGAAACTATGATTCTTGTAGAAAGCCTATCTCAGTTTGTTAGTTTACATACCTATTCCTACTTGAAGAACACTGTACAAATTGCTTTTTAACTGTGTTCAAAAACATACCTAGATATTATTTTCATCTATTTTGAAGGGCTAAGGGCCTGTTTAATTTTTTTTAACTCCACCAGTTTAATTCATTCTTCTCTTCTCCAATTTTGCAAATGACATTGTGCATATTCCCATGCATCACTTGCCTTCAAATGTCAGGTTCTCGTCCCTCTGAAATGATTGCTCTTGACTAGGAGTAATGGGTCCTATCATCCAGGCTGGAAATTTCTATCAATTCCAAGTCACTAAGTACATTTTAATAAGGATCCACTCTTTAATTTTGTTTCAATTTTATTTTATAGTTTATATCTCTCCTATAAAAGCAAATAATTCTGAACAAATAATTAGTGTCTCATTCAGCCTAGCTTCTAATTATGGTACTAAAGTAATAAGATATGAGTATTTTTTTAAAACTTAAATAATAATGCATTATAACCTAAGTACAGCGAAATGAAGACTCTTGGTGTATCTCTTTACACCCATACTTCTGAGTATATATTCCTCAACTCCTTCAGGAAATTGTGTGCTTCTGCAAGAGACCTTGGGATAAGATGATTAATAGGAAGACTGTTGCCATTTATTTTGAAAAATAGATGAGCCAAGAACATACATGTTTTAACTCCAGACCTCCCAAACAGTTAATATGTGACCCATGTCAAATAACTTTGTTCTTTTGTTCTTGTGCCTGGCTTCTAACCTATAAAGTGGGAATAATGCAAATTATTCTAAGTGAGTGGGATTAGTTTGGGTAATTTACTTTGATATTTAAAGTATGAAGCAGAAAAAGGACATATATAGACAATTTTCATTTGTTTTTAAAAAATAATTTTAAAAATCAGTGGTTCATTATTAGAGCTCTTGTCTGTCTTTAAATACCTCATTCAGCATTAAGTACTTAATATCCTTTTCTTTATGGATTTTGGAAAAATACTTCATATTTAGTAATTTGAAAGTAATTACAAATATCTAGAAAAATTTATTTAGAGAGTCATTATTGTGTAGATCTTGCACATGTAATTGTGGAATCTTCTTCATTTGTTCTGAAGAGCTTAGGTAAATCTTTTAGTGTTTCACCATCAGATTTTCTGTCTGTAAAATGGATATAATAGTATGCAGTGATGGATTGTTATATGTTTAACATTAGTTTATGATGTAACGTGCTTTGCTGAATATACAGTATTATTCTGATTGTTATTGTGGAAAATATATGGTTATATTATAGAATATAGATAGACAATATGTGTGTTTCTATAAAGCATGCAATACTAGTATGATATGAGACAGATATGATATAATATCTGTAACTTCAAATCACTTTTTTGCAAGTTACATGCAATATCTGATAATAGATTTATTTTTTCTTTTAAAGAAACTGTTTTCTTTAGACACAATATAATTGAGACAAATGTGTTATTGAACCCCAATATATGGTTCATAGTAATCATCTGTGTGAAGGAAAGACTCACATTGTGTAAAGGAAGCTTTTGACAGTTAATTGCTTCTGAGTATTCCTTGTGTACTTTAGCTGGCTGTCTGTCCTAGGAAAGAACAAATATACCCCCTATTGTTATTATTATTTTATTAAGACAGATGGATTTAAGTGTAGATTGACCATAAGTATAGTTTAAAGACAATTGTAAACTTATATATACTGGAACATGTGAGACTGATTTTCCTTTTTTTAAAATTAAGTTTATTGGTACATTTTACGTATACATAGTGATCACATTCATCATAGGAAATTTGTACCTCTGTATGGTATATCTTGATTCTTTTTTTCCCCCATTCTCTTACCCTGTCTTCAACTCTTCATTTATATCAATTTTAAAATTAATTTTCCTTAAACATTTTTCTTACAATAAAAATTGTATAGTAACATTTTGAAAACTGGCTTAAGTGAAACATTTTTGCTATGGTTACATAAACATATACAGGTTCATGTTAACAATTTGAGTAATTTATCGAGAGACACAGACAAATTCCTTTATAGATATTGAAGTTTGCGGAAGGATAATAAAATGCTCACATTTATTTTGGAGTTGTCTGAGAAGGAAAGGGAAGCTTCCTATCTTTCCCATTTCTTGATGACAAAGAGGTTTCTCTGTATAGTGTACTATAATGCTTTGTTGAAATATTCTCAGGAATGTTTTAAGAATTAAATCAGTATGTTATTGTTAGCATAAAATGGAGTTATGGATTTGAATCTTCGGTGTATGTAATAACCTCAAACTGTTTGCGAGTAGGCTTGAGTAGAAAATTGGGAAGCATGTAAAGTCTCATGTTACTTGAAATATGTTTAGACACACTTTCTTTTTCTTATTTCATTCCTAAGGGCACTGCATCTGTGTATTTGTATATTGTTTGTGGAATTTCCAAATGTTAAAAAGATGGCATTTTACTCTGTAAAATGGTTTTGAATTTTAAGCAAAATTCTGTTCTTTAAGAATCAAAGGAAGTATAATCAGCTTACCAAAAACCATTGACCAGCTTGTTGGTACCATTAAGAAAAAAGACAATAAGCCATGAAAGTGTACTGATTCTCCCCCAAGTGAAAATTATTACATTTTATGGTTTATGCATAAAGTGAGTCATTATTTATTCTGTCTCTGAAGTTAAACTTTAAGAGTTCATGTGTTTAATGAGGATGTCAGAGTATTACTGACTTTAGAAGTAGATAGAAGCCAGTGAAACCTTGAGGAGTGAGAATTATCACAGGAATTCCAAGAAAAAATAAAAATCACCAAGAAGTTAAATTTTTAGTCCCCTCCCCTTGTGTGAATGTGGCTGTGTTTCTGTAAAACATTGAGTTAAGAAACAAAGGCAGTGGTTAAAATTGCTATGTAACCCGCAGTCAGAGGCAGTATGCCCAATTATTTCATTGCCCTTTGAGAAGCAAGTGGAATCTTGTCCCTAGCATAATTTCCCTTTAAGATTCTGTACTTTGGGAATTGTAGTAGAATCTTGTGGGGTTTTTGTTTTTTTTTCTTTTTGAACAAGTATACTTTAAAAATAGCAAAACTGAGGGAAAGAACACCCTTTGTATGCTGTCTGAAAGCCAAGCAATTCTTGCAACAGCTGCTTGTTGTATTCACTTTGGGGAGGTGTAGTTACCATAGTTTTCCAGAATTCACTTGTATCAACTATTTTTCTCTATAGAAAACATACCAGAAACGTCTATAATTATGCCAAGTGGTCCACTTGATCTGTTCAGGGAAAATCTGGTGTAATTTAAAAGATAAAGCTATAAAATGAGAAATCTTAAGGGTAAATAGGTTGGCTTTTTACTTATATTGAATTGTAATTGTATCTAATTTGTTTTACAACTCCCATGAGAGAGCATACTTCAGCTCTGAAGTTATTTTATAGGTCAGGAAGATTTTATGAGAAGTTGATGTGGTAGCCAATAAATGCAATAAATATAATCCTATTTTCCCTTTACACAGTCGCTGATTGTGGTTCTTTTACCTCTTGACTTTTTAAAGTCTTATTTTCATTTTATTGAGTATTACTATAGCTTATAAAGTGACACATTTTGTTAATGTTAAAGAAATAGGCTATATTTTTAGCAGTCTCTTGTAATTGTATGTTTATCCATATTCTTAATCCATATTCTTAAAAGTTAAAAAACGTGTTTATCTTTTTCATAAATACCATATCAAATGTACTATGTTTTGGAATATTTTCAGGCAAATGTTGACTGAGAAATAGGAAAACTGAAACAGATTTTTGAAGTAGAATTTTAAGGTCCAGTGACTGTTGGTTGAATAATTTATCAGTTTAGCATAGGAAAATCCAGCTTTTAAATTATGGAACCAAAATTAATGTTTAAAATTTGGGATTAGGCTATTTCTAAATTTTCACATAATTATAATTTAGTTTGTTATGGTATACCCAGAATTTGATGTTATATAGAACATAAATGTGAGAAGAGTACTTGAGAGAATTTTTATAATGATTATATATTACTGACTTAAAAATTCTGCTTTGTTTTGGCTGTAAGTATTTAGAGTTTTTGAACAATACATTTATTTTTTTTATTTTTTTTATTTTAAAGATAAAAGGAGGGAAACATTAACAGACATACAACATTTTACAACATATCACAAGCACAATACAGACAATACAGAGTTACAAACAAAGTGGTAGGGAATTAACAATGGTGGTTGTATTACATATTGATATCTTCAAAGTGGCTTCTCATGAAAACGGATATAGACATGCAATACTGGTCAACCAAAGACTCATTGACAGTTTCTTTCAGCATAGAAATAGAAGACAGAAGAACAACCATGTTATCTATCCTGTATATACATACATACAAAATTTCTCCTTCTTTCCCTTCTCTTTTCCCACATCCCAGAAGCCCTTTACTCTTCAGTGGTTTCCTATCATTTCACAGTGTCTATCATACCTCCGAGTTTAAATTAACTCTTTCAAGTTTTACACTAGTGAAACAATGCAGTGCTTGCACATACATGTTTGATTTATTTCACTTATGAGTATGGTCTCTAGTTGTGACCATTTAAATATAAAGGCCTCGAGTTTATCTTTCTTTACAGATGAGTAATATTCCATTATATAAAAGTACCATAATTTTCTTATCCAATCCTCGATGGATGGACATTTGGGTTGCTTCCACATTTTAGCAATTACAAATTGTGCTGCTATGAACATAGGTGCACATATATCGCTGTGATATGATTGAACAATACATTTAATACCATGTCAGGAATAATTTTAGATTTCATTTTCTAGCCTGGATATCTTCTGAAAGAGAGTTAGTAT